CTGGGAATATCTTGATCTGTCCTTCATATTTGATGGATAATTTTGCTGGGTACAGTATTCTTGGTTGACAGTTGTGTTCTTTGAGTGTTTGATATATGTCCTTCCACTCTCTTCTTGCCTGCATGGTTTCTGCTGAGAAATCGGGACTTAATCTTATCTGTTCTCCCTTGCTGCTTTCAGGGTTCTCTCCTTATCTTTGGTTCTGGCAAATTTAACTATTATATGCCTTGATGTTTTCCTTTTGGGTCTAATTTATATGGTGTTCGCTGAGCTTCCTGAATACATATTCTCTGATTCTTTATTATGCCTGGAAAGTTTTCCTCTAGTAATTCTTCCACAACTTTTTCAGTGCCTTTATTTGCTTCTTCCTTTTCTGGGATTCCAATGATGCACATGTTATTTTTTTTTTTTTATGGTGTCCCACATTATTCTTAGGTTTTCTTCTTTTTCCTTCTTTTTTGGGTCTGCTTTTTGCTCTAGCAGATCTATGGTGGCAATTTTGTCTTCAGTTACACTGATTCTGTGTTCCATCTCATGAACTCTGCTCATATGTCCCTCCATCATGTTGACAGCCTCTGAAACATTGCACCTTATGTTTTGAATGGTGGATTCTTGTTTTTCCAGTGCCACTAATGCCTCATTTGTTTTTATCTGTAATGTTCTGCATTGTTTTTTTGAGCTTCTCGTGGTCTTTGCTTGTAGTATCCTGTAATTCATCAAGTTACTTTCAGCTATTGGATATATTCAGTCACTCCCCTTTTAAATTCTGTGTCAGAAAGTTCCATGAGACTTTCTGGCTTCAGGGAATCCACTGATACTGTGTCACCCTTTGTGAGTGACATCTTGCTTTGCTCTTGTGTATTGTGTGGGATAGTTTGCTTTCTTCGAGACATTGATATGTTCTAGATCTGAAGAAAATGCTCTTGAGATCAGATGGGCAGCTACCAAACTTGTGTGTTTCTCTGAATTTCTGACTTCAGAGAAATGTCAGTTCAGAGCCTGCTAGGGCAATCTCTTGTTGGTAAGACAGGTCAAGGTGCTCTCCGTTAAAGGCAAGTTGATTGCCCAGACGTGTAGGCACTTGTGTGGAGCCAAATGCGGTGAGGCAGGCAAAGGGTTGGGGTTATCGCAAGGGCAGGTCAAACACTTGGGGGACCTTGCTCAAACCTCTGCTCTCTCAGTGTGCTCATGATTGGGGTCCCTACTCAAACTCTGCTGTTTGTTTCCTACCCGGTGGTTTTCTCAGTATTCCCTACCTGGTGGCACTTACACAAGTGCCCTCACACAACAGCCCCTGCTCCAGCAGAGTTCTGGGTCCGACAGGATCTGAAAAGTCAAGGTCAAATTCCCACCGACCCACTAGCCTCTGGCTGGTCTGCAGAGTCCACAGAAAAAGCTGGCTGGCTCGTTTTGGGCAGTTGGTGTAGCCCAAGAGAACTCGGCCAAATTCCCCACCAGTGGGCACACCCTTAGGTGCTCTCCCAGGTAATCAGCAATGCCCCAGTAAACCCAGCCAGGATTCTACCTGCCTTTCTCTTGCCAGATTATTTCCACAGCAGCTCGGCTGATAGCTCCGGGGGATGGCTGGATCCACGGGGGTGCCCTGAGGTCACAGGGCTGTGGTGGGGCCTGAGGAGCTGCAAAAGGGGGCGAGGAAGCGGGGGGAAACAAGAGACTGGGGGGCAAAGGAGCACAGGGCTTGGACACTACCACGAAGAGGTAGAGGGCGGGGCTTGGGCGCTGCT